AGTGTCTATTTTCCAAAATCCGTTTCATCGATGAAGCAGTGTGTTTGTCTGACATAAGATTAAAAGATTCATAATTGATCATTGCCTCGATAACCAGAGACTGCAAAAACTATGAGACAAAAATTTAAGTGCTGTGGGGAACATGTGTAGCAAGGATGTGTTTTGTTATTCACTCTTAACCAGAGCACTGTATTGTTATATTTAATACCTGAAAGTTGCCAAGTGTATTAAATTTTTGTGTCTAAAATCTGTGGTAAAGGTGATGAAGGGCAGTTACCTAACTTTAAAATTAGATCCTTTAAAATAGGATAATAAAGAATCATAAGAATGAAAGAGATCTGAGAGATTATAGAGCTGTCATTCAAAACCACTCCAGATAAAAACGGGGCAGGCCTTCTTTAAAAATGCTTTTTGTCCAACTGGTGGAAGATAAGTCTATGACCCAACTGATTGTCTTGACCAAAACTAGAATGCGAAACTAGAATATTCCTATGACTGGCTAGGACACCGAGTATCATAATTACCAATAAGATACTTAAGAAAGAGTTGTAGCTCTCTTTGATTTTAAAAGAACTTTTATAAAAAGGTTTCAAACAAAACGTAATTTTTCATTTAATTATGATGTCCTGATTACCTTGCTTAGGGGCACAGATACTGGTCTTATCAAGCTTTGTATCCCCAATGTCTTGAGTAATGACTAGCTCATTAAAACCATTTGACAAATATTTGATGGATGAACAAATGGATGGATAGGGAACCAAAACAAACGAACAAAAAACTATAATGAAAAATTCTATCTGAGAATTATGATTTAGAATCTTGAGGATGTGATTTTGGTTTCATTAAAATTCTATATTGTTTTCTTCATTAAACAAGAATTACATGGTCTACTCATAAATAATTCACTTTTAAATCCTGAAGACCTTCTACATTTAAACTCATTTTCAGGAGAAGAATGCTCCAGGGTATGCTGAACTTTATTCTGGACATTCCACTTAGGGCATCCTAGTTTACATCTTGTTTCAATTTTCAGACATTTTTGGTGAAAAATTGATACCACATCGCCTACTCTTTTCTCTAATCAAAACCAACAAATCTACTTGAAGTTTATTTAAAAAACCATTCAGAGGACCCAAGAAGAAGATCGACGAGACAAAAGGTAAAAAAATGTGCAGTTTATAATTTAAACCATGTAGAGACATTGTTTTGACTAATAATTTAAAATGTTTTGAAAACTTAAAGCACCCTGCAAACGTCACAGTTAATACAGCTCATGCAAGTTCAATGGGATAAAAGTATATTCACACACACAAAAATAACAGAGAATCCATCCAATAAACTAGGCACAAAACATTTGTTAAAACGGGTACCCTATTCCTTCTTCGGAATATCAGACTCGACTCTTCTCATTTCTATCCCTTTCCAACTCTGCAGAGCCAGCTGTTCTTAACCAGTTTCCTTAGAGGTAGGGAGCTTCAGGCACGTGAGAGATTTGTGACTCATGAGCAATTACACTTGCGACTCCATTGACTAAAAGAAGCATATAACTATTACCCATGCCCTCTGGAATATGACATATTAATGCTCCAAGGCAAGCATGAATCGTGAGGAACTAAAGTTTCAAAATGAAAAATGCAGAGATATGTGAGCCTATAGCCATCTCTGGCAGAATTTCAAGATCCATCATTAACGGTGTTCTTTGGGGTTAAGGAATGGAGAAATCATAACTGTGATCGTTTTAGTTAAAATGCACAGATTTTTAAAAGTACCTTTGGAAGAGGAAGAGATGAAAGAAAGGGAGAGGTAGAAAGGGAAACAATTTTTAAGAAGAGATTAATTGTGGTACCATGTTTATGAGAAATATTACCAGTGTTCGGAGAAAGAAAATCTGTGGCTTTTTTTTTGTACTAGTCATGAAAAAACAATTTTCAAGTGCATAAAGATCATATTTTAATGATAGAAAAATATTTATTACTTTTCTTTACAAACTATAGATTTGATTTAATATCTTTTTTAATCAAAATAAAGTCCATCCCAAAATATTTGTGGTAAATCATAAGACAATGTTTCTCCATCTATAAAATGAGGTGTTCGGCCTAGAATATCTCTAGGGTCTCTCTAATCTAATAGTATATATTTTGCTTTGCATGGTAAAATCAATAAATATATACTCACTCACTAAACAATGATTTTAGCACTTATTTATATGCTGGCCACTATGCCATCACTGGACATGTAGTAGGGAAAAAGTAAAACATGACTTCACTCACCAAGCTTATGGTCAATTGGAGAAATCAGGGTTGGGGCACTGCTTGCTATAACCAGTAATCTCTACAAAAAATGATAAAAATGTTGCTGTTAGGACAGAGACATTTTCTCTCTTTGAGACAGATAAGCTCCATTTTGTCGTAGTCCTCTTTGTTAAACTATCAAGTTTTTCCCCCATTACTTTGCAAAACAAATGAGATCTAATTCAGAGCACATCATTGAGGCTCTAAATTCTCTGAAATCAGATGTCTGCCTCTCACTCCCAGGATGATGGACGGGTAATAAAATATTGCCTTTTGAATAAAACATTCCAGATAGAAGCATGAGTGTCTGCAGTAGTCATCATCATTTTCTAGGCCTTTTACCGAAATAACTAATGACCATCTAAGTAGAAAGGGAATGAAGTTCTGATCTGGGCACATACTTCCCTTTAATCTTTGCAAAAGCTCTTCAAGGGAAGTAAGTAGTATTATCCTTTCTTTTTCAATGGGAAAACAGGTTCAGAAGTGAAGTAATCTGACTAAAGTCATGTTGCTAGAAAGTAGTGAAAAGGCTTAAAAGCTAAGTTCGGTTCCAAATGACCATATTCTTTTCACTATACAGTGCTTTCCCCAGTAAGAGGAAGCTTTGAAGCCATGTTTCCCAAAGTCCACTTGGTGGAACACTAATGAGGTACGACATTCCGTAAGCCTAAATGGATTCTTTCCATGGTCAAGTAACTTTGAGAAATGCCAAGCATGTTAAAGGCGGTGAAGTAGTACATAAAATAAATTTTTACTTTTATTTAATCAGCTTTTCCCCAAATTCATTTGACGACCAGACCCAGATTATTTTTTCATTTAACACTTATTAAAATGTCTTGAAACTAAAATAATTTGGCATAAGTTTAGTTAAATGACTGAAATGGGGGGAAAGGGTTGAATGAGAGCTTCAAAGCAGAAAATCAGTCTACAAAGCAATTAAAATGAAAAACTAGCAGTCATGAGAGAAGCATTTAAAAAAGCATAAGATACAGTCTGTGCTCTCAGTGTAGCTGGGAGATGGGGGTGGTAGGGGGATAGAAGGAGTCAGAGGCAAAAAAGGGAAACATAAAATCATACAGACAGCATATTTTCAGTGCAATTTCGGTGATTAATGTGGGCTGAAGCTGAAGATTTGGGAGAGAAAATAGGCTTGAGGGCTATGAAGATTTAGATAAGGGAAGAAGAGGCTGGGAGACACTGAAAGGCAAAAACAGGTTTGGAGGAGAGTGAAGAAACTATTCTCTGGAACTATGTGGGGAAATAAAATGACAGGTAGGGTTTGTCCAGATTATATACAATCATATAGCAATCATTCTTGGTAATGATGGAAGAAACAATCAAAATCTGGAAGATCATTTAGAAAGTCAATTAAGCTGAATAATAAGTATGAAATAGATTTTTTAATTTTACAACTGACAGGCTCCTTAAAGCAAAGTTAAAAATGTCTGTCTAATGAATCAGTAGATGCTCTCATCTAGTTACCCTTGCTCTGCGTATCTGATAACTTTAGCCCAGAGAGGTCGCTTAATTTTCCTAACATTACACAGCTCACGAGCAGCATACCTAAATTGAGAATTTATGTCTTTCTTTGGATTACCACGTACTGTAACATAAAATGGTGCCAAATGAAGTGTAGAATGGGAGGCAAGGACAGGACATAAATCAGCACATCTGACGAGTGGTTTCTGTTTGAAGAGAATTATTTAAAATAAGACAAACAACCAAAAGCTCTTTTAACTACTTCTCTGCCACAATTTAGTCCAATATCTTTTGCAAATAAATGTTACATTTAGAGGTTGCTGCCGATAAACAAAAATTAAAGGAAATCACATTTCTAAATGGCGGCATATCTCAAAAATCATATAGTAAAGAGTAACAGAAAAGGATAAACTTTCTTGACTAAAAAGAGAAGGGAGTGCCTACTAGAATCCTCCCTCTACTTGATGTTATAATCCTTTTACTTGAGATGTTCTATTCCGGACATCTTCCACATGTATTTGTTTGAAACGTGTTTGGTGCTGGGACTAGCTTCAGAGACACTAACAACAAATAAAAGAAATTCCACAATGAAACTCCAGGGTGACCAAAAAAGTAACACTAATTTGAGGTAAAATTTTGACGAAAAAAAAAGATGAGACTAGCAGCATGAGCACCTGCGGCCACAAAAGCACGCTCAGATATTTAAAAAATATATAGGAGAGGGGAAAAGCGTTTTCCCAAAAGTCTGGCACGCATTTTGGTACCAAATGTAGGAGCAGAGGCAACGAAAAACACCGAGCGAAGGGGGCTGCTAAAATAGGAAAGATTATCAACTCGCCTCCAGCAAGCGGGGCCAATGATAAAGTGGCGAGTCTCCCGCCTAGGGACCCGCCCTGCACGACCTCAAAGACTACGATTCCCGACTCTGCGACCGGCCCTCGTGTCTGGCCGCCTGAGCAATTTCATGCGCAAGGCATTATGGGATTCGTAGTCTTTCTCCCCCTCAGCTCATTGGAGGCGGGGAGAGCCTAGTTTATGTAAATAAACATCCTTGTCAGACACTGCTTCCCTTTCCTCCCTTTTCTTCCCCCACCTTTTTTCACCGGGAGTTTGAAAATTCCCGCGACGCCGGCGCCCAAGGCCGGAACACTCGCGAGAACTCAGCGGCTCTCGCCGCGATCTCCTTCTCTAACCCCTCCCTCTCCGCCCTCCTCTTTTCTCCTCCCCCTCCCCTCCCCGGCGTGTGGCGCTCGGTCTGTCTGCCCAGGGTAATGCGCAAAGCGCGGCCGGCGCGGTCTAAGCGGAGGAGGCAGAGTCGCGGGGGGGAGGACCCGGAACCGCGGCGCGGGCAGCGTCTGCGTTTTAGTCGCTGAGCGGTCAGCCGGCCTGAAGCCGGCGAGGGCACTCCCCTGGGGTGTGGATTTGAGGTGGCCCAAGAGGTCGCAGGCGGAGGCCCGCGAGGCGAGAAGCAGCTCCCGCGCGGCGGAGGTGTGTGCGTCCTGCCCGTGGCGGCCGTGTCTCCCGGGAGATGCTGTGACGGACCCGCGCGGGAGGAGCTCGGGCCTCGCCTCGCGCCCTAGTGGACCCCGCGGCCGCGGCGGCTCGGGCACCCGCCCGTCTCCGGTAGGTCGGGGAAGCGAAGGAGGGGGTTGGGCC